AGGTAAACAGCTCAACCCAGTAAATGAAACGACTCCTAGCTTGCACTCTTCAACAAACGTTGAACTCAACAACATCACTTTCTCAACTAAGGTCATACTAAAGGAACTCTGTAACCTTGACACAAATAAGGCTAGCGGTCTGGACAACATCCCTCCAATTGTGCTCAAGTTTGGAGCTCCCGAACTAGCTGTTTCCCTGACTCGTTTGTTTTGCAAATCTCTTGACAGTGGCACTGTTCCATCAGCCTGGTAGTTTGCAAATGTAACGTCTGTTCCCAAAGCTGGCTCATCAAGTGACCCTAAAAACTATAGGCCGATAGCACTCCTTCCAGTTGTCTCCAAAGTCATGGAAAGAGTCTTAAATCATGCTCTTCTCACACACTGTTGTGCAAACAACCTATGACCCAATCTGCAGTTTGGCTTTCTCCCCAAAAGATCTACAAATGATGCTCTTCTTCTTATCACGCAACAAATTCTGAATAACCTCGATAAAGGGTATGAGTCTCGCCTCATCGCACTTGATTTGCCTGCAGCATTTGATCGGGTGTGGCACACAGGACTTCTTGCTAAATTAAAGAACTGTGGCATCACTGGCAACCTGCTCTGCTGGTTCAAGTCATACCTAAGCAACAGATTTCAGCAGGTAACAGTTGGAGGTCAAACTTCACGCAAATCACCCATTACGTCTGGAGTACCCCAGGGCAGTGTGCTGGGTCCTACTCTTTTCCTCATCTTCACCATTGACATCACTGAAAACCTTGAAAACACCATGTTTAGCTATGCAGATGACTGCACACTATTCTCCACAATCACATCTCCAGGGCAGAGAACACAATGTGCAGCATCACTTCAACGAGATCTGAACAAGCTAGCACCATGGGCAGAGAACTGGAAACTTAAGTTCAATGCATCTAAAACCCAGTCGATCATCATTTCACGATCAAGATCTACAGACCCACAGCATCCTCAACTAAATTTTCTTGGGCAGCCACTACACAACTTGGACTCAATCAAAATTTTGGGAGTGACATTGAATGCTAAACTCTCCTGAACTCAACATATTAGCAACCTGGCCCTAGCCTCTAGTAGAAAACTAGGGATGATGCGGAAAGCAAAATGGAATAACCTGGACAGCAAAACTACTGCTACCATCTACAAATCCTTCATTAGACCTAAATTGGAATATTGCAGTCCAATCTGGGGTACGGCAGCTAAATCAAAACTGGGGATCCTTGACAGACTTCAAAAGAAAGCCATAGCTTCCATTCCACCAACTCTTCATGCAGAACTAGGTATTCAGCCTCTAAGTCATCGTAGGCAAGTTGCTGGTCTAACAGTCTTCAGGAAAATGCAGTGCTCTCCTCTGCCTCATCCTCTTGACAGACTCAAACTACCTCCACTCACAGCACGCTGTTCTACCAGGCAGTCATCTGCATCCCATCAATATACAGTCGTCATTCCAAAATCACGTACCTCACAACATCTGAGGTCATTTACAGCATCCTATGCAAGGCTTTGGAACTCACTACCCGCTTCTGCTGTGTTAGCTCCATCTAGCCAATCTTTTAAATTAACTGTCCATAATTTGCTCTTTTAACATGCCCCCTGCTCATAATTTATTAACTTTAGCTGTGGTTTTTCTACTAGCTTCATGTTCTCTTGAGGAGGGCCTAAATTTAAAAAAAAAAAAAAAAAAATGTGTTTTCCTTTTAATTCCCATCCCTAAAAAAACCTCTTCCATCCCTTCCCTCCATGTTTTATCATCCAAACATTATTCCTCAATGATTCTTTCCCATCCCTACTTTATGTTTTTTCTTTTGATGAAATATGTGACTCGAGTCATGGGTCATCATGGTCGAATTCGAGTCCAAGTCATATTCCAATGTGACTCGAGTCGAGTCCGAGTCACGAAAAATGTGACTCAAGTCCGACTGGAGTCCGAGTCCTGGACTCGAGTCCTACAATACTGATCTGTCGAGAGCTCCTCTCCATCGCAACAACACGGCAGAGTCCAAGGAATATTTGGAAGACAGCCCATGTACACCTGATCACATCCCAGTGGCCCGCATCTGATGTGAAGCTGGTTGAAATAGCCGCAGAAACCAGCTATGACCTACGCCGAGTGCAGTACACCCCAGGTAAGAACCTATTTGTGGCCGACACACTCTCAAGAGCCCCTCTCCATCGCAACAACACGGCAGAGTCCAAGGAAGATTTGGAAGAGGAGATCGAAGCCCACCTGATCACATCCTAGTGGCCCGCATCTGATGTGAAGCTGGTTGAAATGACCGTACCCTGGGTGGAGTCATCTCTTTCGACAAAGAGTACCAGAAAGATGTTGACCCACAGTTTATACGGTTCTAGGATGACCTGGACAAGATCAGCCTAGTAGGTGGTATTCTCACATATGGGTGACCTCACTGTGATACCTCTGAGCCTGCGACAACAACTGTTGCACAACTACTTGTAGAGTGGAACCGGTCGAGTGCTGGAATCGGCTCTGATGGACCCAGGTACAAAATTCCCAGCTCCAATCCGAACGAGACACGGACATTCTAGATCTATTGAGCTTTAATAAGTTGCAAGAACATGAGTATTATTATTATCTAGCAGCCCACCACATGACATTGCCCTGTATCCAAAAATCACGATAAAGGTATATTTCAACAACATGCTAAAGTTCATGTATTATCATCAGAGGCCATTTCCACCAATCTTTTAACTAACCTGGTTGAAAAGTAAATGTCTACATACCATTTTCAAAACAGAAGAACCCAGTTATACAAGATGCAATGACAAAACCATAATAATGGTCATTAACATGTTGTCATAGTTTTCTCATATTATTCCTTTTGTTTGTGGGTTGCCTTTTTGGGAGACACCCTGTATTGTAGCTCTTTCATATTTTTGCAAAACTCCTTATATGATTCAACAAACAATTGTAACTGACTGCAAAGTTTCCACCTTAATATGGTATGTCAAATGCTTATTGTTCTATATGAGCAGTCTTTCTTTGGTGCAAAAAATATACTTGATAGCATTTCTCCACGCTCATAAGTCCCATGTTGGCATTATCCATAAAAAAATCATTGTGTTGATTGCCAATTGCACTTCGTCCTTGGTAAGACAATTTGTTGGTTAACTGAAGTAAAGGTAAGAACCTATTTGTGGCCGACACACTCTCAAGAGCCCCTCTCCATTGCAACAACATGGCAGAGTCCAAGGAAGATTTGGAAGACGAGATCAAGACGAAGACAATTTGTTGGTTAACTGAAGTAAAGGTACGAATGCTGAAATGACCACTTTTGAACTTGAATGAACTTGAGACTACGGGTACGTGTTTCTGGTTTCAGTAGTGCCCATAAACCTGTTTTAACTTTTTCCTCTTTTTTGGCCTGCAATATAGCTTTTGTTTATCAGTTTTTCATCTGACAACTTGGTCATGAGAATGTCATCAGTCAATGAAGCAACTTAGTCTTTTGCTTTATATTGCTGCTGAATATCCCCCAAATCTCTTTATCTGCAGTGCTCAACTCACCTTTGAAAATGAGGTGACTAAGTTCTGTTTCTGTGTCATGAGTCTCTGTATGTATGGCAGTATCAGGTAAATACACAACTGATTTGAGCCGTGCCCAGGCAGATTGGTGCTTGAAGGGCCAGGTTTTGAATAAGTGTTGTACGCTTTGTGTTAGTTGTTCTGACCAACAAGGGAATCTCCCTACATGTCAGGGGGTATGCCTAGAACGTCTGATTGCATTCTTTTCTCCTGTAGGCAAGTGAAACCTGGTCAGTAGTTGCTAGTGACATCTAACACCTTACCCGCAACAATAATGCCATAATCAGACTGCTTTGTTCAGCAAAGCTCTCGGACACAAAACCTATGGCTGAGCTAATGTGCCAACTTGGTCTGTCAGCTGTTGATGAGCTGTTTCATCAGGACGCCTTGATTGGTTTGGTCACCTCCAGCATATGAACAAGGACAGCTGGCCAAGGAAGATTTAGATTTTTGACTACCAGATCGCTGGCAACTATCCATGTTGGCATAATGGCAGGATCTGGACATGGCAGTCTTGCCAACTGAAGTGAAAATGCCAGTGGGTAAATGCTCTTGCAATTGTACCTTGCTATCTTTCTCAACGTTCTTTTTCCTCCCTTTTCTCTGACTGGAATTTGAACCTCTAACTTCAGATATTCAAACACAGCATATTGAGCTCTAGGTGCCTCCTATAGACTCTTTGGACATTTCTTTCAAGTATCCAATGCAGATAATCTCGGTGAAGGTGTTAGATGTGCTGACAAATACAACAAATCTCTTTTCTCCAGTACACTTTTGATAAATGCTTCAGTCATGATTATAACAAAGATCTGTGTGTATTATCAGTAAGTGAAAATAAAGTACTGAACACATGCATTGACCTGTGTACATGTACCTATGTCTGACAGAGTACGGGCATATGTCCGTTCTTAGCCAACTACATGTAGATTGCGTAAAAGCAAACACTAGCATTTATGCATAGGCCCTACAACCCATTGGGTCATCTTAAGGATCAGAATCAGTGTTGTACTGATGAGCGTGCAACTTGATGATTTGGCCTCTTTGTTTAATGTAAACCCCAGCAAATGCTGTGAAGTTTTTGAGCAAAAAACAAAAGCATTTACTATTGAGTAAAAGCATTAGGGAAAAGCAAATACCCAAATGATTATGAATAAATATTTCTTTCATTGTGAAACATTCACTGGCTGGCATAGTAGCAAATATTTCAAACGGTTGAATTCATTTCACAGACGAAAGGTTTCCAACAATATGCTCAAAAACAAAATATGAAATGAAGCTGCACATCAAGAAACTGTGGCTCGGCTAAATCATCCCAACTCCATACTGCAAAACAAGGTGAATGACTGCGGTAGATTCAATAGTAATGTCCATCAATGCAATGGTGCAATAGTGAAAAATCTTGGTCATATTGTTACATTTACACAGATACAATGTATGTGCCTACCTGAAAAGATCGGTGGAGTTTCTTCCATCCTAGACCCTGTAGCAGAATCCACTGATACATCTCTCGGTCGCTCTGGACTTCCCGGCATTATTTCTTGATTAGAACCTTGTACCTACAGTCAAAACAAAAATCACAATACAATGTGAAGAACTTGTGATCTATGAAAAAGGAGCATTTCTGGCAAAGTTATTTAAAAATGTAATAATATGGTACTTCAAACAAATGTGGAATGTGCTGGTTTGGGGTTCTTTAAACATGTTTCAACAAAAAGTGCACACAAATAGCTAGGGCACTAGCAGCTATGATTGCAGGAGCAGATTCAAGATTTTCCAAGGGGGGGGCGTGAAATGTAACGAACATGGGTGTCACGAGGGGGGCGGCACTTGCCCCCCCCCCAGGCAAGCCCCCCCCCCCCAAAAAAAAACTAGAACATTGGTGAAGCCGCCATGGCTCACTGTCAAAGGTGGGAAGGAAGGCTGACGGTAAGGTTGGGGATGGGCATGATGGGGATCAGGATTATGTTTAATGAGTGTGTGTGTTGAGAGAAGCAGTTGTTGTGTTGCTGTCATAAGTATTGTCAGTTTCGCTTTTTCCTTCTCAACAATATTCCTCATCAGTGCCATCTACTCCTCCTTGGTCGGTAGCCGTAGCTGCTTTGCGTTGGCTGTGTTGCGTAGGCGCTTGCTCACCGTATTAAGGTCATTGTCGAGGACAATTGGAAGTGTGGTACAAGGGCGTACTTGCGAACCTTCCATGCCTGCTTCTGTGCTAAAGTACTCCTCGATGAATTTCTGAGCAGGTACATCTCTAGGTAGCCGCAGGACATGGCTGAAGAGTTGCCAGCTTGCTTCAAGGGTCCTGATGCTGGAGTGGACCACACTTGCAGTGTGAGTGGACCACACTTGCAGCGACCATAGAGTGTTTTGTTGGAGATGCCATGTGGCCATCACATACCAATGATCTGTCGTAATTGGCTTCGGTGGAATGAGTCCAGTTGGTTGTTCTGTTTTTGAGTGAGGCACAGGTACCCATTTTGTAGTGAAATACAGGAAGCACGAACTTGTTATTAGAGGCACATACGGAGTTCCTCACTCACGTGGTAGCACCGTAGCCATAGTGTTTTTATCTTTTGGAATGCTACATTGGTTACCTGCTTACGATGGGCGACATCTTCCCCATCTTCCAACATTGAGCCGAATTTCTTTGTCATGCACCACTCCTTTCCCCACAGTCTACCTGACGCTTCATTGTAGTGTGCTCAGTCTTTGTGGGTTGATGATTAGAAACAATTGAAGCAGACTTCCTGGTGTGGTCTGCTCCACTGTGTTGAGAAATTCTCGCGAGTAGCTAACAAAGTCTATGTCATCAGCATATGCTACATCAAGAGGAAGACCACCGTCTCCAGTGCTTTGCGTCTGCAGTTGTCCATGAAGGTCACGAAGAGCTGCTTCTAGGTATACCACAAACAGTACTGAAGACAGGCTGTCTCCCTGAGGTGTGCCGATGGTGGTGTCAAAGGGTTCACAGGTGCCCTTCTGCAGGCGGGGCACTAGTGATGTTTCTGCTAAAAAAAAGTCGAATGATGCGTAATTCCGACTCATCGAGAAATGTATGAAGAACTTGCATTAACCGGTTTCTTCTGATGGTATTGAAGGCGCGACTCATATCAAGCCCAAGAAGCTCTGCACTCTGCTTACATTGTTGTGTCTTGGCGCACAGCAAGCGGTAGCCTAATACTGCGTCCGCTGTTCCACGACCTCGACGGAAGCTGATTTGTCCCGGGACCTATTGCTCTTGCTGGTTCATCTGCAGAGCCAACTTCAACTCCTCCAGTTCTACTCGCAGCTGCCCCACACCATCGGCCTCCATTGCAGCTCTTTAGGTTCTCCTCACCCCACCAGGCTACTACGCCATATTTGACAACCGAGAAAATGGTAACCAACAAGGATAGTGTGCTTAACGATGATAGCCTTGTAAATTAGGAGCTGTTATCGAGGTGGCTCTAACTGGAAACTACTGTATTGTGTGTGCTGTGTTGCTCCTTCAAATACTGAGTGGTGAATGATTCTCAATACAAAGACTATGCTTTACATATGTGGTTACCTTAAGGGTCAGATGAGGATGCTATATATGCAAGGGCTATGTATAAATGGCCTGTCATATATGCAAGATCACGTGTGCTATTTTGTAGTAAGAGGCACCATAGACTAGGTCACTTGTAAGGTCAAATAAAGCATGCTTACATTGCACCACAACCGTGTATAGTTGTCTAGCTCGAATAGCCCAACAAAACCTTCAAGTTATGCACTTGAAATATCACAAATGGTGATGAGGATGTTTCTGAGGAACCCAGCATTGATTCTTTTTTAAGTTGTCATCCGTTTGTAGTCATTTGTTGGAAGTACTGTTATGTATGTTATGTCTAGAAGTACTGTATACATCAAATGAACTATTCCATGAATGTGTGCGTCGTATGTCACGCTGTACTGTACCATCAAAGGCAGTGCACTAATCACCATGGCCACCTCGATAACAGCTCTTGATTTACCAGGCTATCACCGTTAAGCACACCATCGTTGTTGGTTACCATTTTCTCGGTTATCACATATGGCGTCGTAGACAGGATGTTGTGCTAAACACTGCATACCCAACCTGGTGAGGTGAGGAAAACCTAAAGAGCTGCAATGGAGGCCGATGGTGTGGGGCAGCTGCGAGTAGAACTGGAGGAGTTGAAGTTGGCTCTGCAGATGAACCAGCAAGAGCAACAGGTCCCAACCAGTAGCTCTTCTGCCACAACTCAAAACCGTGACCAACTCGGTCCGTAACCAAACAAAGTGCATCCGGGCGAAGGCTTGACTGCTTCGGGGGAAAACCAGAGAAGTCGACCGACCCATCTGTTTTGGAATGGGTCAGTGACATCAAGGGTCAACTGACAGCAAGGCAGCTAGATGGGAGCAACACCACAGCCGCCTTTATCATCAACCACCTGGCCGGTAGAGCAAGGCAGGAGATCTTTGGCAGAGGGCAAGACATCGAAGGAGGGCAGAAAGATATTTTTTGAATTCTGCTGAAGGTGTTTGGAGCAGGGGACACCCTACCACAGCTCCAGCAGAAATTCTTTTCCTACCGTCATGGACAAACCAAGGACCTACTGAGCTGCTTCCTGGAGCTGGTTGAGTTGTTTAACTCAATAGCCTGCCTGCAGCGATGTGTCCCTCAGCACCCGGCCCCCCCCCCCCCCAGCAACTGTTAACTAGGACGGCCTGCCAATGTGAGCCAACGACGGGCTACCAGGTTTTACAAGACAGCGGCTCAATAATTGAGAAGATAGTAGCAACTGCCTGGTTGCAGAGGTGAGTACAACTCGAGTACACACACACACGTACTCAGCCCGTACTCGACTATCAGTACTCAAAAAAAAATTTGGACTTGGTCCGTACTCGATTCTTCGTACCCGAAGAAGAATTGGTACTCCACCTTGGTACTCGGTACTCGACCCCAGTACTTGGGAGTACGCATCAAGTACATTCCTGTTAAATCGATTCCATTGCTCAACCTGGCACACAATGGCGCGCTTACAGTCTGTATTACGACTTAGTCCAGTTCCCGCCTCCCCAATGTTCCTTTTACAATGAGGATTCGTGAATCGGGAGCCAGCCAAGCTCAAGCTTCATATGTGACCTGTTCTGTCAAAATCAGACTTTTCTGGGCATAAGGTCGAAAATGATATTTTTACATATTGTTAACATATGTTCTTTTTCCTTTTAATAGGTGGTTTAATTTTTGATACCGGTCATTCCTGGGCAGAGTTATGCTATTTTGAAGTTCATTGTGTTGAAAAGTAGAAAACTGAGAAAATGGCCACGAACGTCACAGAACAGTTATTTCTTTAACTGATATACCTTATCAAAATCATCAAAAATAGTACATGTAAAGTTCAAATTAGGGTTTCAAACTTTTATAATGTATGTTCAGGATTACAAATATGCAAAAATTTGAAAATCGATAAAAATCACCCCCACAGCGTGTTTTGGCCCTATCTCAATTTCAACCTCTGCCCAGAAGCGTCTATTCGCCTTTTGCGGACGTGACAGGAACCACAGTTTTTGTGCATTGGTGCCGTGTGCAGAACACACAACGTGTACATGTACGTGTATGGATTATGTACGGTGCCACGTTTCACTATGCAAGTTTTCACGCAACGATCAACCAATAAGAAAACGACATTTAAGGTCAGCTAAGGCTGTTAATATAATGAGCACCACCCCAAAACCTCACATGGACGATTGAACCAAGGCGCTAGATTGGGTCCAACTGATTTGCATAGAAATGGTGGCCGCGTGAGGTCGCTGTTCGCGCTGTATTTTTAATGCACCGCATGCATAGCGCTAGCGAGGATATCGTTTACCGCGCTACGGCCGGGATGAACAACTAGCGCCTTGACCAAGGCTAACCCGGGGGAAGACATCCTCCGCATTTTTTTACGGACGTAAAGCGATTTTGGCGCCGCGGGAGACCGCTGTCTTGGATACTTTCAGGAGCAAACATCATTGCGGAGGCCGAGTAAATCTTGCTCTTATATATATAGATTTTTACATTGTTTACATTAATAAAAGTTGTTTAGTGTTAAACCAGTTGGTAAAAAAGAGTGGAATGCGTGCTGTGTTTGTTTTTATTTTATTTCATTTCATTTATTTATTTCTTTTTCAAATTTATTTTTGTACTTTTTTGGTATTGTACTCAAGCTTGGACTTGGACTTGGACTTAAGTACTCGGACTCGGCCAAGTACTCGTCCATGAAAGTACTTGGAACACTGGTGCCTTGGGCCTACAAAACACTGAATCTAGGCCTGCAAGCAATGTCTCTACTTGTTGTTGATTGTTCTGTGAAGCCGGCAGCCGGCAACAACGTCTATCAAGCAATGGTGGAGGAGCTTGATGTACACATGAAACATCTTCCAAAAGGTTTGATGATCGCCCCAACTCTTGTAAGAGTTGAAAAGAGTGGCAAAGTCTCCATCCAAGTGGCCAACTTCAATGAAGATGACATGTATATTCAACCCAGGACCCCTGTTGCAATACTTTCCTGTGCATCCCCCGAGTATTGCTTTTCCCAATCCCTTGCATCAGACTGTGAAGTCTCTGCACACCAGAATCCACAGCAGCATCAAGGTATCAGAAAGTTAATCTCTAGATATAGTGAAGTCTTCAGCAAGGATGAGGATGACATTGGCTACTGTAATAAAATAGAGCACCAAATCATCGCCACAGACGACATACCAGTCAAAGTAACTTACAGACGTATTCCCCCACACCTATCACACCATGCATGATTGCCTACGCACACTGCCCCCGGACCAGAAGCACAAATGGCCGTAAAACCTCCCAGAGTTGATCTATGCTTATAATGCCACACCCCACTCCTTAACAGGCTACTTCCCCTACTACCTCATTTTTGGACGGGAAGCAAGGTTACCGGTAGACTATCTTCTTGGGCACAGGAGAGAGGTAGACAACGATCCAGAGATTGACCAGTGGGTAGCAGATTATCAGACGCGAATGGAGCAAGCATTCGAAAGAGCTTAAGGCACAGCGGAAAAGAGGCCCCTCGAAGACAACAAGTCAATGACGACATAATGAGACATTGAGGCAGGAAGATCTCCACGTTGAGGCCAGGGTCTTCCTTCGCAATCATACAATCAGAAATAAGGGCAGAAATAGTGCTGCAGCCGAATGGCCATACCGCACTAAAAATAGTCGAACTTGATACGAAGTGAATAGCAATGAATACTACAACTTAACAATACACCTCTTGTTATTCTTTTATACTTTAACATTAAGACCCAGTCACCATATGCCTCTACTTTTCAATGAAATCAAGAAAAAACAAGATTTGTGTCCCCTAGAACGTTTTAATTGTCCATAGTGAGCGCTCTAATGGACAGGACACATTCCAATGATTCAGTCTAGATTCATTTTAGTTGTTAGCTCCTGCAGCTGACCTCCTTAAGAAGACCACAGCCAAGAAACACTTTATGGACTCCAGTCCTGTTCTATTTTATAATTGGTTATTTCACCAACAAGTTGCATGACACTTTGAACAGTGGCGGATCTAAGTTCATTTAAATACAGGAATACAAAGGGATAGATGGGGCACAGCCCCACTTGTTCCATTGTATTGCTGTATTTTAATGAAGCTGGATGCGCCACTGTTGAAAGTGCAACATGCATTGAAAATCATTAAATTATGGTGAGGACACTTACCTGTGAAGACAGAGACTCTGTTGCACTAGATGTTTCTTTGTCTCGTCTTACTGTTTGATAACTTACAATGCTTTTAGCTGACACATTTGGAACCGCTTTGCTTTTCCATAAAGCCATCAGTTTCTTGCTCATTGTCAAACCTTAATGATGAAGTATAAAGAGATAAATATTTGTTTCAAATTTGTTACAATTTGTTTCACTGAATAAACAACAATGAGAAACTGACTTACTTAATCATTAATATGATCCTATGCCAACTACCCATTGACTTATCTAGCCAAAGTTGGCAGTTTTTGAGTCAAACCAGTTTCACAAATGCCACGCCAAATAGTTGCAAATGCCATGCCAGCTGCCACACTGTTACAAATACAAATCTCAACTCTGTAATCTACTATTTATTAACCACTTCATTTGCATTATTATTAAAGTTATATACTCACTTCTCCTTCCAGGCAACTCTAACAATTGTTTTGCCGTCAGTAATGGCGCTACAGGAAGAATCTGTCCAGAAAAAAAAAAAATATGCCACTTGGTACATGCAGTATTGTAGTTGAGTCACCAACGACGAGTCCCAAGTCAAAGTCCTGGGTCACAACCTCGAGTCCGAGTGGTGAGTCACTTGTTCTTTCATCAAACAAATAATTTTTTTTCAAATTTTTTTTCAAACATCCATTCTGTCTTTCAAGTAAATACCAGTGTATATAGCTTACCTTGTGTGTGTACATGCTGTTTAGACCCAAAATTTGATGGCTGTTTCGGCAACCAGCCAAAACAGCCTTTGTTTTTGGCTTTTTCGCATAGTGTGGAAAAGCCTTTGTTTTTGTTTTTTTTTGTTTTTTGGGGGTTTTTTTTTGGCTCTTCCGCATAGTGCGGAAAAGCCTTTGTTTTTGTTCTCATTTTTTTTTGGGGGGGGGGGGCTTTCCGCAAAGTGCGGTAAAGCCTTTTTTTTTGTTAAGATTGTTCTTTCTTCTTCTTCTTCTTGTCGCCTAAATCCCATAGACTTTGTACACGATTTTTCTGCTCACCACTTTTGGCATAAATCTTTGTCATACATCATTCAAAGTTACCACAGGCAAGATTGACATCATGGTGACATCATTGACTAGTTTATTATAGATTTTCCATAGACTTTGTACACAGAAATTTAAAAAAAATTGCCGCTTTTCAAAGGGCATTTTCGACTCTTTGCCAGTAATTCATTTACACCACTCTTTGTCGAAGCGAAGACCCTAATTCAAACAACATTGTGTAATGATGATGTCATGATGACATCATCCGGTGTTTATTTATGGGCAATTAAATGGTGACACTTTTAATATTTAAAAATGCATAAGAAATCAACCGTACGCGTCCACAGCATTCTGTTGCCGGCAAGTGGTAGAGTAGGTTGAGGTCTTTATTTCATTCAGTGTGCGTGAAATCACATGACCCTTGCTTCCGGTCGAAAAAGGCCAAAACAGGAAGTGGCTTATTATTTAAAAGTGGTAATAGATATGAACTTGCTTTCAACGGTGTTAGTCTCTTGGCTGAGAGTATTCTTCAAATCATCTACCAATGACGTCATGTATTTTGAATAGATGTGTGCGGCGAAGTTTGTCGGAATCGCCTAAATATTGGTGTATATGATGACCTTGACCCACTTAAGACGTGTGCGAAGTTTTAGGCATATGGCGTCATCAAACTGGAAGTTCCGTTGAAAAGACCTTTCCTTTTTCAAAAATTGCTAACATATCAATCTGTACAGATATAATCTTGAATTGCCCATTAAATGATAGCGTAAACATTTGCCTCAACAGTGCCAAGTTCCCAGCTTGTCAAATTGTTCACACAGTTGACGCGACGTCGGCAAAAAATACCCTTGCATCAGTAAACTTGTCTCAGTGATTTTTTTTCTGCTTTAGGGGCCGGGGAAGGGCAGACAGACAGATGTCGTTCCTTTATTAGTATACATGTAGATACAAAATCAGAAGCCATGATGATGTCATGATGTGTCCCCGTGCATCATCTTAAAGGTGTACAGTCTGGAAGTCCTAAATCTATATATGTATAACAAAAACAACAACAGCACATAAAATAACAATGCATTCAAAACAGAAAACGTCACCACAATTAAAAAACATAATGCGGAAAAACAAATTTCAAAGCTGTTGCACAAAGTGTTTTTGTTTAACGAAATAACTGCACTAACTTATGTTATTGAAAACTCACACAATCATATTATTTATTCAAATGAGTACGTGCTCAGATGATTAGTCTCATTACACTCCAATCCCCCCCCAAAAGAAACAATCAGTTCAAAAAAATTTGAAGCCAAATTTGACTTATTTTTTGGTAAGTATTTTATTGAAGAACAGGCTTGGTTGACGACTTGTTGGTTGCTACATTGGAAAAGGCAAATATGTAACAATGGCAATTGACCAAAATACCAATAATTCAAATGTCTACATGATAGATGTCACCTTTTTTAGTACATGTACTATCAAAATGTTTGAGAATGAAAATATAGCTAATTTCTTAACACTTCAGAAATGGTGGAAAAGACAAATTTCATCTAAAAGTAAGATAAGTCCTCTTTATCCTTACCATATCTGATATCCTTTGTAATTGTTGAATCTTTTGGAAATGTAAAGGATTACTCACAGTATAAGTAAAGATTGTGTATATTTACTTACTTAACAGTCAGCCTGTCTCTACCAGCATGCATAATGCTCACAACACTCCAACCCACCCCCCCCCCCAAAAAAAATAGAAGTCAAATTAAACTTATTCTTTTGTAAAGTATTTTAATTTTGAACATGCTTGGCTGATGGCATGATTTTTTATGATTTTTTTAATATTTACAATTTCATTCCGCTTCCAAAATTTAACACTTCCTTTCAATGGATTGACTTCAATGCAAAAATGTGCATTGGCATGTGTTAGCAAGATGACGCCATCGTAAGGCATGTTAGGTCATCATAAACGTGCATTTTTAAAGTCTTATATTGAGAAAACTATCAGTCCGAATGGGTCAAAATTGCATATAAAGGTAGTGCTATACGTCTGATTTCATATGGATTTATTTCTTTTTGACGATAATATATCTCAGAGACGCTACATACGTGTAATATACTAAAAAATTCTTGTACCGTATTCTTTGAAACATTGGACATGCATCGTCTGGAATGTGTTATTGATAAAAAAAAAAAAGCATAATGCGAAAAAGCCCTATGTTCTGTTTTCAAACAGACATGGACATCTAGTTTCTTTCTTCTTTTTGTCGCCTAAACCCCATAGACTTTGTACACAATTTTTCTTCCCACCACTTTTGGCATTAGTCTTTGTCATACATCATTCAAAAGTACCACAGGCATAGTCCCTATAGCAAAGTTGTGTCCGTCAAAGAGTGACGTCATCATGACGTCATCATGGGTCACGTGACGTCATTTTAAATGTGCATATTATGAAGTCCATATCTACAGAACTGTAAGTTCCGATTGGGTTAAACTTGGTATGTAGGTAGACCAGGATGTGTTATAGATGAAAATTGAGGTGACGTCATGATGACATCATCATGGGTCACGTGACGTCATCCTAAAAGTGCATATTGTAAAGTCCTTTATCTACAGAACTGTAAGTCCGATTGGGTTGAAACTTGCTATGTAGGTAGACCGGGATGTGTTATAGATGAAAATTGAGGTGACGTCATGATGACGTCATCAAGGGTCACGTGACGTCATCCTAATTGTGCATATTGTAAAGTCCAATATCTAGAGAACTGTAAGTCTGATTGGGTTGAAACTTGGTATGCGAGTAGACCGGGATGTGTTATAGGTAAAAATTGAGCTGACGTCATCATGATGTCATCGTGTGATTTTATATGATATTTTTGGATTTTTTGGGTTGAAACTTGGTATGTAGGAAGACCGGGATGTGTTATAGATGAAAATTGAGGTGACGTCATGATGACGTCATCATGGGTCACGTGACGTCATCCTAATATAGTGCATATTGTAAAGTCCTATATCTACAGAACTGTAAGTCCGATTGGGTTGAATCTTGGTATGTGGGTAGACCGGGATGTGTTATAGATGAAAATTGAGGTGATGTCATCATGACGTCATCATGGGTCACGTGACGTCATCCTAAATGTGCATATTGTAAATTCCTTTATCTACAGAACTGTATGTCCGATTCCCGGAATCGGACATACAGTTGGGTTGAAACTTGCTATGTAGGTAGACCGGGATGTGTTATAGATGAAAATTGAGGTGACGTCATCAAGGGTCACGTGACGTCATCCTAATTGTGCATATTGTAAAGTCCTATATCTAGAGAACTGTAAGTCTGATTAGGTTAAAACTTGGTATGTGAGTAGACCGGGATGTGTTATACTATAGGTAAGAATTGAAGTGACGTGATCATGACGTCATCATGTGATTTTATATGATTTTTTTTTGGAATTATGGACCTTTAAGCCATATCTCACGAACGCAACATGCACAATTCAAAATTCTTTTCGTATTGAGTTTGTTAGGTAATAGGTATATGCACAACATTTTGAAAAATGTGTGACGTCATCATGACGTCATCAAAAATGCAATTTTTGAAAACACATACAAGGGAAGGTCCCATCATCATGAAACTTGGTGGATAGCCAGATAATGGTACCAGTACACCAGTATACTCGCATACCAAGTTTCAACCCAATCAGACTTACAGTTCTCTAGATATAGGACTTTACAATATGCACAATTAGGATGACGTCACGTGACCCTTGATGACGTCATCATGACGTCATCAAAAATGCAATTTTAGAAAACACATACAAGGGAAGGTCCCATCATCATGAAACATAGTGGATAGCTAGATAATGGTACCAGTATGCAAATTCCGAAAAGACGTCACCATGACGTCAACAGTTAATTTTTTTAATGATTTTTTCATACTTACAATATCATTGCGCTTCCAAAATTCAACACTTTCTTTCATCAGATTGACTTCAACCTTAGTACAAACCAAGACCAAAATGCAAAAATATGCATTGACAAGTGTAATCAAGATGGTGTCATAGTAGGGCATGTGACGTCATCAAATGCCAAATCTGAAGCTCAATAGAACTTTTTATGATATTTGAACCAAAAAATATAATTTACATGACTCCTCATTGGCAAAAAAGCATAAAGTCATGCAAAATAAAATAACCGGAAAAGCCCTATGATCTGTTTTCAAACAGACATAGATCTCTAGTTGTTAAGATTTTTTTTTTTTTCTTTTTTTCTTTCTTTTTCAGTCATTTTGCCCATTGCATTTGTACACTTTTTTTGTTTTTTTGTTACCGGCTTTTTGGGCACTAAAATTAATCCGATTTCCTTTATACTCGGCATACACTTAGATCAGCATCTGAAGTTGTGCCCTGAACATTGACGTCATCGTGACATCATCATGAGTCATGTGACGTCACATTATAGGTGCATATTTTAAAGGCCTATATCTCCACAACTAAAAGTCCGATTGGGTTG